CAACCCAATTGAGTCTGATTGTGATTTGTACAACAAAAGCATTAGGGAGAAAAGCAACATGTTTTGCTTTCTGATGAAAAATTATTCAAATACCCATAGAGAGGAAATATTCAAGCAGTTGCCTTTTAAATTCCTTTTATAAAGTTAGTCTACTTGTTACCAGATCTGTTAGAAAACATTTCTAAACATACGTACAATATATACATTTGTCAGAAGAAAGATATCAATCCTAATCAGCATTGTCTTTTTAAAAAATACCAGATACAAAATCAGATTGATTTTTTTCCTCTTAGAAACTGTTCTGTCAGGACTTTGTACCTTATGTTGAATTCTGCTGGAAAATGGCATTTTCTGGCAGTTTGAAAATATTACCTGTATCTATATATTTGGCATCTATGAAAATGCTGTTGTGCTTAATAATGGACAGTTTTCCATAGAGTCAACAGACATCTAGGGCTGGGATGTAGGTATTTCAGATATGCTGGTTATATTTCTTCAATATCCCATAATTTCTGGATGAAGAATTGGGGTTTACAGTAATGAGTCCTAATGAGTAAATAATATACTTTATTTATTTATTTATTGTATTTCTATACATTTTTATCACCCCCAGGGGGACTCAAAGTGGTGCACAACATAATAATAAAACGGCAAAAATTCAATGCCTCACATCCAAATATATCACTTGCAAATGCATGAAAAAGCTAAAAATACACTATATATGTACAAATGTACAGTAAAACAAATTAAAGCTTAAATTTAAATATACAAAAGTCCCATAGAGTAAAATGAAGGAAGTTATTTTTAAATATTTTAATATTTTAATAAAGATTTTCCATGCGCAATTAAAGTTTAATGTTTAAACAAAACATCAAGTAAGAAAGGACAAGGAATGAAGTAAGAAATAATATGCAAAATAATATAACTACACAGATAAAATAGAGGCATGGATTAAAAACTTTTTTTGATTGCTATACACAGTCTGGAAGTCCCCCTTTATTTGAACAGATTTGGGACTAGAGCGCTATGATGAAGTGAAATTGTTGATATGGAGAATATGGGTTATTCTTGCTTGCAAATGCATATTATATGCTGAAAAATGCAAATAATGCATTGTGTATCACCTTTAAAAACATGAAAGCATTCCAGAATAATTCAAGTGGGGAACTACTCTTTCTGTAGACAAACTTTGGGATGTACATGCAAGCAGCCTCAAGCGAACCTCATAGGGAACTGGCAAGAGAGTAGACCCATTGTCAAATTAATGGGATTTGTGTATAATTTGCAAGCACTGAAAGAGAGGTGTCAACAAGCAAGGTGTCAAAATGTGGGGGAAGCCTAAGTAAAGGTAAAGGTTTCCTCTTGACATTAAGTCTAGTCATGTCTGACTCTGGGGGGTAATGCTCATCTAAGCCGAAGAGCTGTTGTTGTTCGTAGACACCTCCAAGGTAATGTGGCCAGTATGATTGAATGGAGCGCCATTACCTTCCCCGCCAGAGCGGTACCTATTGATCTACTCACATTTGCATGTTTTCAAACTGCTAGGTTTGCTCCAGTTTCCTATCCCGCCCTATGTCCCCTGTTTTTATCTGTGCATCTGGCCTAGCTCATCCTGATTTACTCCTTGTCCGTAATTGTTATTTCACTTCATACCTGATGTTATATCCCACTGTGTAAATTCTCCTTTATTGTTTTTATGTTATTGTTTTTTAATGTGGTATATTTTAATTTTAATTTTAATTATATTATTTTGTATGCATTTCATTTGTTTATTGTTTTCATTGGGCTTGGCCTCACGTTAGCTGCCCCGAGTCCCTGAGGGGAGATGGTGGTGGGGTATAAATAAAGTTTAATAATAATAAAATAATAATAGGTTGGCAGAAGCTGGGGCTAACAGTGGGAGCTCACTCCGCTCCTCATATTCGAACTGCTCAGTGGTTTAACCCGTTGAGCCACCGGGGGAAACCTACATACAGTAAAATAATACTTCCTTGTTCTCTGGTAACTACATCATACATTTTTATGTATGGCAAAACACCAGTATTATTCGGCAGAGAAAGCTAAAATTTGTAAAGCTCTCATGATTATATAACATTAAGCCATGGCAGTTAAAACAATGTCAAACTGCATTAATTCTGCTGTATAGATGCAATGTCAGCCAGAGCTCTAGGGTGGTCTAGAGCATTAACAACAAACAGTAGCATCATAAAGGGAATTTTCTGTTCTTTGCAAGTTTGAACTCCAGGCTTAAAATTATCTGAAAACTAAGTTGTAAATAAATCAGCAGTCACCCAGCCTTTTGCATTACTCTGGCAATATACTGGAAATCTAGATTTTAAATAGTTTTAGTCCCTAGAATTCTCTGAAACACAGTCTTTCGTTTGTAGCTACCAGCTTAACAACAGCATTGACCTACCTTTTGCAGCTTTGAATCCAATTTCTCTTCTTTTGCAATAAAAATGATAGCTGTCATTTGCTTCCAATATAGTGCCAATTCATCTACATAGAAAATCTGTTCCCTTATATAGCTAGCATCTTTATAATTTTTCCAGCTCTGCAAATACATTTCTGCAGCTGTGATATCTCTGCTAGCTGCTGCTTCCTGTGGTTTTATATAAGACAAATTGGACTTTGTCTTAAAGCTGTTATATACCAGCCTTTGCTAGCCTCAGATGTTTCCTCCATGAATGCTTTTCTTTTTCAGCCTCCTGGATATTTCCTGTGCTTAGAAGAATATTGTGACTGATTTGATCTCGAATCCACACATTTAAAAGTTTTTCCATATCAGCAATTAGGTTGTCCCAGTTTCTAATAATTCTAGTGTGCACTGGAGTAGTTTTTTTTAAAAAAATGCATCTAATACTGGCTTTATTCTTAACATAAACTAATTGTTGAGCAAGGTGCCTGTCATGCCCCATGAAGACCCTCACTGTTTACCTCCAGTTAAGCCCTTTTTTAGTTAGATAGATCAACATTTTATGTACAGTTTTGGTGGAGGAAGGGGGACGGTCTAGACATCCTCTTTGCATCTGAAGCCTCCGTCACTCTTGACCCTTTAATAATCCCCTCAGAGGCAGAGCTTCAGACAATCCCTTCTAGTTCTCGGAAGATTCAGCCTTTTGGTAACTGGAAGGTGAAGAGAGAGGAAGGCTGGAAGGTCTATAATATAGCATATCTGGTTGGAGTTGTATTCAAGTCCAGTCAGAGTTAAATATTGAGTGAGAGCATCTTGGAGACAGTTGAACACCATACAAGAAAGAATAAATAAAAATGCAATAAATAAAAATTCGGCCAGAACTGTACCTATCTCTCAAAGACTTTACATCTCCTCATAAAGACTTTAATGAGACTCAGGAGGAGAGAAAGTCTAAAATTCTTGTCAGGAAATAAATTATTGTTTAATTCAATTAAATAGTCTCTGATCTATTCCCTGCTCAGCCAGTTCACCTTCCAAATAGTTAAGATAGCATGGGGGCAGATCAGTACCCTGTGGTCTATATCAGTTATGGACATGCTTTTCTTACTACATTTGATTAATTCCTTCTTTTCTTGCCCATTGAGAATTATTATCACTACAGTTAGGTGCCATTGGGAATATTACAAACACAACTATAAATATGAATACTCGTTTATAAACACAATTATAAGATTTTTTTTTGCCAGGGTGGGAAGAGGGAATCTAGTGACACATTGTAATATTTAATAGACCCCATAATTTTAATAGGCTACACAATTCTCAGTCATGCAGCAGTTCCAGTGTCCTATATCACAGGAAACCAAACAAAATCCAAAGTCATTTATATGAAATGCTTTGTCATTTGATGTACCTTCTAAAGGATTTATTTCCAGGAACTCTAGTAATTTTACAGCAATGTACTTAGAGTTGATTTTTTTTTAAAAAAATGGCTTTATGCAAAGTCTTATCTACTACTCAAATGTAAACATTCTAGCAAACTGCTTATATTGACAACCAAGGACCACAATTAAAAACTTTTGAGGTGAATAACTTGTCTGTGGTGGTGAGGTGTACATATGTCCAAAGGTCATTGTGGATCCCACTGACTTGTTCTAAATGTTATGCTATATTTGTAACAGGGACAGGAAACAGGTGGTCCTCCAAATGATGTTGATTACAGCTCCCATCAAACTTTACCATTGTCTGTTCTACTTGAAACTTATGGGATTTGCAGTTGAAGAATATCTAGAGCACTGCTTCTTAAACTGTGGGTCCTGACCCCAAATGGGTCCCATTAGCTTAATGTTGGCAATAATAAAAGGTTTCAGAACATCACCTACAACCTCATTGCAAACGTCCATGGATTCACTACACATTGTGGCAAATCCATGGGGTCCTGGTGGAGTGTATGGAGAACCTGTTACTCCATTGCCTGCATTGCTTGATTTACCTGGGACCCAATCATATGGGGTGGGGGGAGTGTTGCTGCCTGATTTCCCCCCATTGTCCTGAAGGCAACATGGGAAGGCTCCCGTATTGCTGCCATGGTGGCATTCACCACTCTCTTTCCCCTTTCCTGATGGAGCCTGGCTGACAAGTGGTGTGCAATGGGGAAAGGAGCCCATTTGATGAGGTGGCTAGTGGCTTGTTTAGACATTTACATGGGTCTGTTGTGCAGTGTTTACAGTGAATTCTGCAGAAGATGCTTCAGCTGTACTCCACAAAAAGGAAAACCCTCATGTTTGGCCAGCTTTGAAAATGTTGATTTGTTTGCAGTAAATGTTTGGTTTTTATACATATTTAATATATTTACACACCTGGGGTCACATAAAAATTTCTGAAGCCAAAATGAGTTCCAAGTGGAAACGTTTGAGAAGCCCTAATCTTGTGGGCCACATTCTCCCATACCTGGCGTAAAATAAGCTGTTACATTATCATTTGTCTTCTTAACCTAGGATGATAACCTTTCTAGGTTGACACATAAACCTGATAATATTGCCTATTTTATGGAGAAAAGTAATCTTATTTCTCCTTCTCCATCTAGTGCACATACATAGAAATTGACCAGGTGACCAGAACAAATGCCATTGTGTTGAGTAGACCGTCCTGGCTTTGGGGGACAGAAATGGGAGCCAACGAGCATGGAGTATTCATTGCCAATGAAGCCATTGTCACTAAAGAGCCAGCCTTGGAAACAGAAGCTCTCCTAGGAATGGACCTTGTCAGGTAGGTGATGAATGAGTATGCTGCAGAGCTGTCATTTGGTTTATTAATGTTGTGAGTAATAAATCATCCGGGCTGGTACAAATACTGGTTTAGGAGTGGGTTTTTCCACTGTTTGCTTTAAAAAAAAATAGAATATAAATTTTAGCACAGACTGCATTTACCTAAATATTTTTGCTTTGAGCCCTACATAGGTTAAATACTCAAGACACAGTGCAATGTAAGAATTTATTTTTAATATGTGGAGCCAAACTGCTCCACATATTCACCTTACAATCGTTAAAGTGCTTGATTTTGGATTCTAGGCTCATTGTTATGGTTTTGCTCATTTATGGGATGAAACTGAGAGTTCATGTGTGCATCATTTTGTTTTGAGCCTCTATACTGGGAGGACAGTGGAATAAAAATAAAGTAAGAAAATTAATTGGACTGCAAGAAGATCAAACCAGTCCATACTTCAGGAAATAAAACCTGACTGCTTAGTGGAGGGAAGGATATTAAAGGTAAAGACAAAATATTTTGGCCACACAATGAGAAGACAGGATAGCTTGGAGAAGATAATGATGCTGGGGAAAATGGAAGGAAAAAGGAAGAGGGGCCGACCAAGGGCAAGATGGATGGATATTATTCTTGAAGTGACTGGCTTGACCTTGAAAGAGCCGGGGGGGGGGGGCAATGGTCAACAGGGAGCTCTAGTGTGGGCTGGTCCATGAGGTCACAAAGAGTTGGAAATGACTGAACGAATAAATAACAACAACAACAACAACAACAACAACTACTACTACTACTACTACTATTATTATTATTATTATTATTATTATTATTATTATTATTATTATTATTATTATTATTATTTGACATGCATGACCTCCCCTATATTATGTCTTTGCTCATCTTTGAAAAAGTCTTGGTGTAAAGAGAAGTGTGCGCTTCTCTTGCTTTGGTAGGTCTAATGTATTGCTTGAATAGGCATTAGTTTGCTTTATTGCTTTTGATCCCATTTCTCCATGTTGTGAGTGACAAAAGCCATTTCTAGCAATTCAGTCTGGCAGATACAAGATTCAAATATAAGGTTGCATTAAAAGTTGCGAATGTGGCATTTGGTAATATTTATTTTAACTTCCCTCAGTAATGCCAAATATTTGGTGGTAGTCTTTTAATTAAAGTAACAATCAGACAGCTTTGTTAAGCATTGTTTCACTGAGCCCCAGGTGGCACAATGGGATAAAGCCCTTGTGCCGGCAGGACTGGCAGGTCATAGGTTTGAATCTGACCTCACTACCTCTGAGGATGCTTGCCATAGATGCAGGCGAAACGTCAGGAGAGAATGCCTCTAGACCATGGCCATATAGCCCGAAAAAACCTACAACAACCCACTGACAGGTCATAGGTTTGAATCAGGGGAGAGCACAGATGAGCTCCCTCTGTCAGCTCCACCTCCCCATGCAGGGACATGAGAGAAGCCTCCCACAAGGATGGTAAAACATCAAAACACCTGGTCATCCCCTAGGCAACAGCCTATTCTCTCACACTAGAAGCGACTTGCAGTTTCTCAAGTCACTCCTGACACGAAGAAAAAAAACCTGAACTGCTAGAATGCAGAATGTGAGAATTGGCCAAGCATCCCTCTAAAAAAGAGTTTTTCCTTTGTAGCTCTCCCAAGCCTTTGGGTTTCTGTATTCTGCTTCATTTTGAAAACACCCTACTGTGCATTACACTTTTCTGTGTCTGGGGGTCAGAGAGGGAACTCTGAAATAATTAAAGTGTTGTTAGTCTACTCCAGTCCATGCATTTGTCAAATATTTGAATGGAGGCCAAAGATTTCTAGAAAATCATTTTATTGTAGGATCCTGCTTGGCGTAGTTACTCTGGTGACAATCTATTTGAATAGTTCAGTAAAACTAGCTTAATATCACAAGAACTACAATGAGATGGGTTGGGAGTGAAAAATAGAAAAATAAAAGGTAGAAAAGAAAATTTCCCAAGGCCCTGTTTACACTGCCATGTAATGCAGTTTGAAACTGTATTATGTGGTCAGTGTAGACTTATATAATGCAGTTTAACCATACTCTCTGCCTTCCAGTTCTCAGATAAGTCTTCTAGCCAATTTTATTATCTCTGTTTTATTTGTCTCTTGGACAGATTTTCCAATTACCAAGAGCTTTTGTATGTCACACATAAGAAGGCCTTATATCTAATCTTGGCCATTATTATCCATCCAGAAACATTAATTTAGATTAAATGGAAAGCCAATTATTAAACAAAAAATTTCAATGTCTATATAACATGCTAGTTATAAGTACATTAAGGACCTCTTTCCTGTGCAAATTTCTATACTGAATTTGTCTTCTGTTTGTCGTCTTTGGTCAACAATGCATTTTCCATTTCCCCTGGAAAATGCTTTTCAAACATATAAATTGCAGAAGACAGGCAATGACTCAACTGAGAGAAAATCAACTCATAACCAAGTGTCCCAGTGTGACTAGGTCTGTTGATTGAATTTACTATAAGCAATTGCAGTATCCAATATTAAAACAAGACAGTAATGTTTGAAATACAGTAATTCCAATAGTGCTTCACACTGATCTTTATCAAATGAGAGAATGTAAATTAAGTTGGGGGAGACTGGCTTAGGCTTCAAAACTCCAACGTCTAGGTATTGACATAACTAATTACCAAAAAGGATCATATGCACCTTGGAAACAGCACCTTCTCAAGCCTTGACTAGTTATTTGTTGTGTATATAATTCAGATTGTTTACTGTTTTCTAAATGTGTGTATTGGTTTGCAGTTTTCCTTAACTCTTTTGTTGTGGAAGGGGCTGCAGACCATGTGATCAGATCTGGGCTTGTTCATGGCTCAGACTCCATTTTAGATCTCACTCCATTCAACTTTCAGAGTAGACAGACTCTATTAGACTCTCAGAATAGTGAGATGCTTTGCACTATAGACTATTGATTCTAAAAAAAGATGCCCTGTGTTACTTACACAGGGAAACTACTTCGAATCCTATTTGTAACTGGATTGATAAGCAAAGAACCTGCAAGTTTCTTTTAAAGAAGTCTACTTATTTTTGTCTCTTGAGAGCATGTTTTAAAGGCATGATATTTTAAGGGAGAGTAGATGTTTTTGAGCAACTAAGAAGAACACTTCTGAAACTCTACACTCCCCCCCCCCTGTTAAGTCCTTACTCTGGGGAAAAGATGGGCTATATTTTATAAAGGAATGTATGCATTGATAAATAGACAAATCAGCATACTTGGTCACAGGCATGTAGCCGGGGGGGGGAGGCTGAGGGGCTTCAGCCCCCCCCCCGAAATTCTCATGGTGGTTCGCGAAAAGGCCTTACTGGTGCATTATTTAAACTGTTATGTATATTCATATCATGATCTGATCACCATACTCAATATATCCCATATGCATGGGGGTATTGGGGTAATGATACAAAAGGTTTGCTAGGGTACACCCTCTTTCACTCAGACTCAGTCCCCCCCCCAAATCAAACTCAGCCCCCTCCCCGAGAAAAAATTTTTAGCCCCCCCCCCCCCCCCGAAACGAAATCCTGGCTACGGGCCTGTTGGTTACTTATGTTCAAATATTACATTGTGAGGTTCTACATAGGTTCACACTTTTAATTCTTTTTAGTTCAGCCTACAATGCCCATATGGACTCCTGAAACCCACAATTTTTAGTTAAAGTCAGTAGCAGAAGGCACAGACAAATGGAGCACAACTATAGAAGATTGTGGAATGTGAGAATAATGGACAGAAAAACCAGAGGATAGAGAAATGGAAGGGCTGTATGGGACACAGAAGAGGCTCAACCGAATGGATAATATGGCCAATTTATATTGCATCCATTATGTTGCCTCTTAATGTTTCTTGACATTTCTTGTTGCTTCCCCATCCAAACACTGGTTTGCCTTTGGGGGAAAAGAAAAAGAGGGGTGAGAGAGAGCTTGCTTCAAAGAAAGAAACATTGGAATAGCACCATTATAGTTTACCTTTTTAGCACTATAACACTGGAAACAGCCAAAGCAACATTTCTTCATTAATTTCTTAATTTTACTTCCTAGCTTTCCCTTTAGAGTGCAATATAGGAGCAAATTACATATAATGTTACGCATATAAAGGTAAAGGTTTTCCCTTGACATTAAGTCCAGTTGTGTCCGACTCTGGGGGTTGGTGCTCATCTCCATTTCTAAGCTGAAGAGCCAGCATTGTCCGTAGATACCTCCAAGGTCATGTGACCAGCATGACTTCATGGAGCGCCATTACCTTCCCACCAAAGTGGTACCTATTGATCTACTCACATTTTCATGTTTTCGAACAGCTAGGTTGCCAGAAGCTGGGGCTAACAGCGGGAGCTCACACCGCTCCCCGGACTTGAAACTGCGACCTTTTGGTCAGCGAGTTCAGAACCTCAGCACTTTATCCCACTGCACCACTGGTGCTCCTTAAAAGAAAAGCCTACAGCATCCGGTATTCCCAGGTGGTCTCCCATCCAAGTACTAACCAGGCCTGACTCTGCTTAGCTTCTGAGATCAGACGAGATCCAGCATGTTCAGGGTGGTATGGCCGTAGTATAACATAGTGTTATTATTTTCAGTGTGAGCAGGATGATTACAGCATTAAACAGGTTTAGGACTACATAAAGTTCCTTTTAAAATGATTGTTCCTCTGCTTTAATATTGATTAAAATGCCAGTCGCCAGCTGCTCCGTGGTTCAAGAGGGAATGCCTATTTCATCCTCTTTCTACAGTTGAGGCATGAGCAAAAGCTCTCAAATTAGCCAAGTGTTGCTCTGCTACTGTTGAAAGGATTTTTCTGTGTATTTTTTCCTTTATCACAGTGGATAGTATTTATTTGATGAGTAATTTCTGCATATTTTTAAATATTAAGTACAGTTGTGGGTTCTGTGTTGTATTCTCACTTATACAAAACATTTCTCTTTCTGTTAGCTATTAGTTATGTTCATTTCTATTTATGTCTGTGGTTCTTTAGATATAACTAGAGGGACATCTGCTGGAAAGAATAGGCACTCAAGAAAAAGAATCAAACGTTCTTGTTCTTCCATGCCCCCATCAGTATTTGCAATGTATCCTAGTATCCACAGTGTTTCTCGCATAACAGCTTCCATAATCTCATCATTGGGCACATCACAAAATTACTTCTTTAAAAAGCCAGTTTCACAACAGGTAGAACTAATAAATCACTCAGTGTCGTTTAGCGCTTAGAGGTTGGACTGAGATTTAGTTGACAGAGAGTTTCTACTAAGCCAGGGGTCCTCAAATGTTTTCAGCAGAGGGCTGATTCACAGTCCCTCAGACTGTTGGTGGGGGTGGGCGAACTATAGTTTTATATGTATTGTCGAAGGCTTTCATGGCCGGAATCACTAGGTTCTTGTGGGTTTTTTCGGGCTATAGGGCCATGTTCTAGAGGCATTTCTCCTGACGTTTCGCCTGCATCTATGGCAAGCATCCTCAGAGGTAGTGAGGACTGTTGGAAATAGGACAATGGGTTTATATATCTGTGGAATGGCTGGGGTGGGGCGAAGAGCTCTTTTCTGCTAGAAGAGCAGAGTTTATAGTTACAGTTTATAGTTTATAGTTATAGTTATAGTTTATAGTTACAGTGAAATACAATGAGACACAAATATACAGAAAAAGGCAAAGGCTTCTCCTTTCATTTCTGGCTCTGGAGGCGGTTCTCATCTCTGGCTCTGGAGGAGGTGCTCTTCTCCATTTCGAAGCTGAGGAGTCTGCATTTTCTGTAGACACCTCCTAGTCATGTGGCTGGCATGACTGCTTGGAGTATCTTTTCGCCTTTTCTTGCCGAAGCAGTCCCTACTTCACATTTGCATGTTTTCGAACTGCTAGATTAGCAGGAGCTAGGGCTAACAGCGGGAGCTCACCCTGTCCTGCGGATTCAAACTGCCAACCTTCAGGCCACTTTGGGCCTTCTCAGCCCGTCCCATCTTACATGGTTTTGGATAAAATGATGAGGATGATAGGTATATATATGAAGGGTGGAGAAAAGGTCTTAAGCCTATTTGTGAAGGAGCCACTGTGGAATGACCAAAATATTTTCTGGGGAAGAGCAACTCTTTTTCCTATAACTTGCCAAATTTCACTTGCGTGCATCATGAAAACATCACGAAAAATAGTATCTCCCAGTAGTAAGAACCATTCTGCAGATTGTGAGATAATGGGCGTGAATGTGTCATGTGTACCCAACATGATAATATAGGACCATTGAGTGACACTGCCATTCATAGCAGCTGGGAATTTCGCATGAACTTGTGCATGCCATTATCCATGACAACAAGCCTGAAATTATTTCATCTGGGAGTTGCACCGTGAATGACTGGTGTAACTCCCAGTTGAAATATTTTTTTCCCTCAAGGGTTGGCTAATCTGGAGAACAGATGGGAAAAGTGTGTCAAAGTGGAGGGGGAGTATGTGGAACAGTCATGAAATTTCATCACTCTCAGGCAGCTGCATCACAGCTAGGCTCTAGACCAGCGATTCTCAACCAGTGGGTCCTCAGGTGTTTCAGCCTACAACTCCCAGAAATCCCAGCCAGTTTACCAGCTGTTAGAATTTCTGGGAGTTGAAGGCCAAAATTCTGGGGACCCACAGGTTGAGAACCACTGTTCTAGACTTTTCATCCATGCTTCATACAATGTAGAACTTGGGGATGGAAAGGCAGAAAGCAAGCAATTTGGTTCACATCAAATGAATGGTAACAAAAAAGTTTTTTTGCTTTAGATTTAATTTTATCTGTCAGCGAACAAGGCCACTGCTTCACTTTTGCCAGGTTGTCTAAAGTTGACAGGATCTTTCATTGTTGCTTTTAATTCTTTTGATCTTCTTCTCAGGCTGGGTCTAGAAAGAGGTGCAACTGCGAAAGAAGCCTTGGATGTAATTGTGTCCCTATTGGAAGAGCATGGGCAAGGTGGAAATTATTATGAAGATGGGAATTCATGTCATGCCTTCCAAAGTGCTTATCTGATCGTGGATAGGAAAGAATCTTGGGTGCTGGAAACTATTGGGAAATACTGGGCAGCAGAAAAAATTACAGGTCTGTTTTAAGTTTTCTCACAAGCAGTAACTTTTACAGGCATAAGGTTATATATGCATGTAGATTTCTTTTAGTGGTTACTTTAAGATTTGTTTTGTCTACTTCTTTACACTTTTGTGTCGTTCAATAACTGAAGTTCTACATGAAGTTTATAAAATAGGTGACAAAAACAAACAACACAAAAATGAAACATAATCTTGGCCTAAGATAAAACAGCTACAGAATACAACCAGCAATAGAGGCATTATGTAGGGATTATAACCCAGATAGATATGTACTGTATATGATGAGACAGTTAGAACCATCTCCTCTTTTTTAAAATGTTGTTTTAAAGCACTTTTCTCCATGTTATTACTAAACTAGACTATATCATTTCAAGCAAGTATTTAATTGTTCTAATTTTAGACAAAATATATGGAAGATCCTACCATGCTGCCTATTTGAAGTTTTGGTGAGGATTGTGCTAATTGCCCATTTGCGGAAATATGTTTCTGCCTGTGCAGCATCTATTTTCCTTCTTCAAATGAATTTCAAGCACCGGAATTATCAGCTCATAAACAGAGCATAGCTTCCACATCCAGACATCTTTTTACATCTGTGTACTGAAGTGGGTACACTGCACTAGCTTTGAACACAAAGCTCTCTGCCTTGCTGACATTTTCCGAACAGCTTCTCATTGTCTCTGACATTCACAGAACCTTAAAATAGCAGACAATCAAATTCTCTCTTCCATGTGCTTATTTCTTCAGCCTTGTAAATGCTTGTTTATTTAAAGATAAGTTGTGCAAGTTACAATTGAATTGGAGCCAGATTTTATGATACACAGGGCTGACCCCACAAAATCAATGGAATGTAATTATTTAGCCTAAGGCCTATTGGAGAGCCAGTGATTTGAGCATTGGACTGTGACTCTGGAAACCAAAATTTGATTCTCCATTTGTCCATGGAAGTCCCCTTGGTGACCTTGGACAAGTCATATATTCTCAGCCCCAGAAAAACCTTGTGATAATGAGGTCAAATTTAGACTAGGACCACAGACATAGAGGACCCTTGCCTGGCGAGCATTGTGCTAATTGCCCAATGTTCTAGATTAAAGAACATACTCACCAGGTGAATTCAGCCATAGAGGGTTAATTTACGTTCCCGTCAGAAAGGGTGTAAGTATATATGATGCCAAAAATTTACAAGCATAAACATGAATACAGACAGCATAGATTTTTAAGTAGTTCGATTTCCATTCCAGCTTTGTGCTCTCTCACTGGATTTGTTGAGAGAAAGGCCAGCCTGGGCCTACTATCTGATTGGTTGGGCTCCACTGACATCACTGGTTTCAGGCAGGGATTCCTTCCCAGCGGGGAAGGGATGGCCGTGTTTGGTTTTTGACAGCCTAATCAGCCATGGGGGATGTCCTTTTGGAAGTGGACAACCCCAAGAAGAGGGTTTAGAAAGCTAGCATAATAGTTCAGCTTAAAGTGATAAAGATGGGGTTATGATAGTCAAGTATCCGGGGTTCCTAAAACAAAGGGTAGTGATCAAAAGTGTCTAGACTTGGATGTATATTGTGAGTCCTTGTCTTTATGGTTGGTGATCTCTTAGCCCCAAGAGGCTGATGATCTGTACACACACCTGAGACTTATATTTGATTGGTGTCAGGAAAGCAACTTATACTTGATTGATCTGACAACCTGGATTTAGCTGAAATTGATTTTTTTGAAATAAATTACATGCAGAGGTCACTGTGTTTTTAAACTCTCCTTTTGATGTATAATTTCTTTCCTAGAGGGAGTTAAGTGCATTTGCAACCAGATTTCCTTAACCACAAAAATTGATGCAGAGCATCCTGAGCTTAGGAATTATGCAGAAAGTCAAGGATGGTGGACCACAGATACAGAGTTCAACTTTGCTCAGATTTTTTCTCCATCTGATAAGCATGAAAACTGTTGTTTGGGAAAGAAGAGCTTAGAAAAGCAGGAAGGTAAGTAGAAGATCTCCTTTCCCTCTCCCACATTTTTGGTCATTGTTTGCCATCCTAAGTATGAAGAGTAGTTCAGGCTTCATTTCTTCTTTTGGGATATTGATTTAACTCTAGAAAAGATTGCATAGATAATTGTTGCGAATATACTTATGATAGATGTACAAATGTGGAGTTGTCTCTCCACATTTGTAGTTTTGATGTTTGCGGATTTGATCTGATTTGATTATAATTTAATCTGTAGGTCAGTTTCCTCCAATCATGCTGGAGGACATAGAGATTTCTAGAGACAGCATGCCTCTAAGTATATCTAAGTCCTACAATGTGACTCAATGTTCAGCTTCCCGTGGAAGTTGACCATAGAGTTGTACTGGAAGACCTAGAAATTGCACCATATGTGACTTGCCATGGCTCTCAGGACACACCCCCAACTCCGTTTAATCATTGCTTTCTCCAAAATGTTGTGTGTCATAAACCTTCAGGTTTGAGATCCTCAGTTTTCAGACTGGGGAACTGGGGAAGAGACCTTTTGGAGGCCTGAAATAGCATTTTTCTAAAATTCGAATTGCCAGTCAGATTATTAAAGCTTTTGGGAAAATGATAACACCATCTTCATTTAGCTGCACTTTTTCAGGGAGCCCTGACTGTTCTGGGGTGGGGAAAGTACCAATTGTTGAATGAATATAACTTTTTAGCTCACCGTCCGTTATATTCTCAACTCAGATTTACCACCCAGTTATGGATCATGATCTTGCTTATGCTTTGATTCCTGATCTTCCCCCAGGCAGCATCACTGTGCAAACAATTATTGATGTCTTGCGTGATACGTCTGGTGGTATATGTGTGGATTCAGAATATTTTCTTACTACAGCAAGCATGGTATCCGTATTACCTCAGAATCTTAGTTCCCCATGCATCCATTATTTCACAGGCACACCGGACCCATCAAGGTAAGTTAGAAAAATGTCTGGCCATTCTGCTACTGGTTTTTTGAAGTCTCAAGAATGAACATATAGATCAGTGGCTTTAAAACCTAACCTGGAAAACTTTAGTTTCCTGATGCAAAGTTATTCAGTGCAGGTCAACTATATGAGGGTTTCTTATTTGCTTTGTACCTTTATCTGTAAGTGTTGCATTACGTCTAAATTATTAGAGGCAGATTTGAAAGGCAGGCCTATGAGTCAGTTTACTGATCCTAACTTGGTTTACATGGAGCCATATTATCTTGATTCAGCAAATGTTCACACAGTGGATCCTCCTGCAGCAGCATAGTTTATCATTCTGCCATGTTGAGCCTGAGATTTAGGGTTACAGTCTACTTTAAAAACACAGTTCATCTTTTGAATGAATTCACTTGCTTCAGAATATTTGTAAAGAAAAGTTTCAAATTAAATTTTTCCCATTTTGAACAAGCACACAAGATTTCTAGATTATAATACAAGCTAGATTCGTGATTACCAACTGATAATACATCTTGTCTTTTTTTCAGATCCATATTTAAGCCTTTCATCTTTGTTGACAATGTGAAATTTGTACCAAAAATTCAGTCACCTAGTTTGGGTTGTAGTGATCCCGCTAAAAATGTTCCCCGGTTCCAGGAAAAACCAGACCGGAGACATGAACTGTACAAAGCACATGAATGGGCCCGATCAATCATGGAGAATGATGAGGTAAGGTCTGTGCATTCTGTGCTATCAAATTCACCCATGATAAATTTCAGACTTGAGGATTTGGTGAAATCAAATGTTATGCTGAATTCAATTTCTCTCTTGAAATATATACAAATTATTTTTAGGTCACAGTAAACTCTCAAAGGAAAGGAGGACTCCTGGAAATAGTCAGGTGGGATATCTCTTAACATGTTTCAATGCTAGTATTCTGAGTGCAAGATAGGAGTTGAAGGTAATAAGGGGAGCATTCTAACATGCAGCCTATTTCTATTTTATAGGGCTGCCATGGACGTTGCCTTTTCTGAAAATGCAGTTCAGATGTATATTTATTCATTGCACCAATCCCATTCTTCAATTAGCAAGACTCCCAGCATGGCATGCGTAATATGACTGATGTCACTGCTGCTATGTAATATAACAACTTTAATATAGAACCAGAAATAATAAAGTTGCTAACTGTTCTGGTGTTAAAATTCATTTTATGTAACCAAAAGGTATTTAAAAATGGCTTCATCAACCACCCACTTTCCGTGAGACAATCAGCTTCTGGCAAGGCCCAAGGGAACTTTTTGAAAACATAGCACAATGATCAAAGGCTATATTTGAAGTGCGTTTGCACTATAGAATGAAAGCAGTTTCATTAGCCTGGCTCAATCTTATGGAATTATGGGACTTGTAGTTTTACAAGGTCTTTAGACTTTTCTGCCAAAGACTGCTGGTACCTCATCAAACTACAGATCCCATGATTCCATAGCATTGAACCATAGTAGTTCAAAGTGGTGTCAAACTCCATTAATGCTATAGTATAGGTATACTTTTGGTCATTACCCAGCCTACCTCTGTAGTGGCAGATTAAAAAAAAAGGACCTAAAGCCAGTTGGTAGTCCTAACTTGAGTAGATCCATTGAATCAATGGGAACTTGTTAAGTCAATACCTGTGAAGACCCCCATCAATTCAATGTGTCTATTCTAAGTTAACCTAAAGACCGATTTTAGGTCAAAGGCTTCTGAAAAATTGTTTGGGTTGGATGGGCTTTGAAGTCACTCATCCATCTTTAACTTACTTTTGGGGCAACTTTATGCAGGAAAAGAATGACACTTTTTAGTATGTTAGGGGCAGCATTTAAATTTCTAGAATCTGAGATTTCCCCATGCCTAGACTGCTAGAACTTTTAAACTAAATGGCTTTGAAAGAATAAAAAGGATGCTATGTCAGCTGCTGTTGCCCAATGGAGACTTTTGTTGATAGTTGTGGAGTAAACAGTAAACGTTTAGGAGTTATTTGTAGACAAATTACTACAAGGAAGCCTCCATTTGCCTAAAGGCATTCTGTGAAATATCTGAAAATACATTTCAACAAATTATTCAACAAATCTTCCAATGAAGAAGAAACCTTCAAACTGGACGTGTACTATAAACAATAAAAAACAAGATGAACAATTCTAAATGAAAGAGCAAGAGACAACTGAGCTGGGATTTCTGATAAACGGATGAATGGTGAAACATTTTAAATGAGTCTCAGGAAGCTGACATGGCATACCCTAGTCTCTGAAAAAAAATTCCTCCAATTCCATTTATTTTAGAAGCCTGAAATACCCCCTGGGGAAATTCCTGGCTGCAGTTAATTGATCTAACCTAGAAAACAAACAAAGTGCTACACTTCCTGACATCTTTGCATCTTTGTTAGCTAATTTTGGGCAGTCATGGTGATAGCATTCAAAGACCTAGTTGTGTTAGTCTGGGTCGATAAGCAAAGGGATCCAGTATATGCTCCCCCATTCTTTATTTCAGTTATTTTCAAAGGTGCTACAGAATCCATTTGAGCAGTCATGTCACTTGACAGCCAGAGTGCTTTCCAAACCTAAATTCAGACAAAAGTCTTTAGCACATGCTACCTGAACATGACTTCCTTGATGAGCCTTTTGGAAAATGGCATTTTTAACCATTTGGAGATCATAACATTTTGGAAAAGTTTGATCTTTCAGAAAAGAGCCAAAAACCCATTTGAGTAGAATCTTCTCATATGGTATGCAACCAGATGTAATTATGCAAGGCAATTTGGCTTTCGGTTGTTAGACTGATAATCTGTTGTCTGTGATTTGTTAGGAAGACACTCAAGACACAAACATTTATTTATTTATTTACCTCATTTGTAATATGAAATAGACTTTGATAAAAATAGCATATGTGGTTTACTCACAAACTTTATGTGTTCAGCTTAGACAGGTACAAAAGTTATCAGTCCGGTTTCAGATATGTTTGAAATAATTCTCTCTGTGCAGATGGCACAGGGCATCTTCCTTATAATCAACAGCAGGCAAGTGTAGGTCTGAGCAGTCTTAATAGATTCTGAAGTCTAAAATGGAGTCTGAGGTCTGTCCAGTCTCAGAGCTGATCATGTGGTCTGCAGCCCCTCCCACAACTTCTCAGGAAAACATAGAGTAAGGAAAGAAAGCTGATATCAGAACATATATACAGTAAGTAAGCAATAGGATTATATACAAACAAATAACTAGAGAGGCTTGAAGAAGGTTGCAGTTTCCAACATAGCCCTTAATTTTCAAGAGAAGACGGTGAAAGCTGAAAGACAGTCAGTTTTCTCAATGAACTTCAAAATCTTTTTACACCAGTCAGCAACAACTGCATTAATACATTTGGTAATGATATGGATCTTTTTGAGGGTTTATTGTGGCCTCTTGGGAGAGTTATTCTTGGGTATTTTGAGCTGTGTTTAATCCATTTCTAAAATGTGGCTCTCTCTGTTACTCTGGCTAAGAGTCTTCATCAACTCACCATAGCAGAAATCTCCACTGACAGTCCCCGTACCACCATAACATAATGCATGAGAAACTGTGAATTAAATAGGTTTAACAGAGTAAATACACAGAGGCAGTACAAAACACACAATGTGTATTCACACACTACTCCAGATTCTTAATTGTGCATTGGCAATGGTTCCTCATGCAGAACTCTGCTAAAAATAGTTTCCACATTGATCTCCGAAAAGTGGACATGCCTAGCCCAACTTATGCCCATGTATGTCACCACCAGGAACCTCCCCATCACGCCATTGAGTAGGTCAGATAGTATAGAGCTACTGTGTCCTTCCAGAAAAGTGAAGTGCAAAGTAACTACTCCTATATGCTCCTTCCTTAAAGCATAGTAATATGAAAGAGGAACATGAATACATCTGCAGAACTGCAATGAATGTCTTTGACAGGAGTATTTGCTGCTTGATTACCCACAACCCAACACAAGGCTTCCCAAAAATCACTTCAGAGCTACAGCTCAGTGGAGCAATTAGGTCAGCTCTGGGTCAAGAAAGACTGTAAGATATTAAGATGTGGGCAGAAAACACTGTGCTATATGGACAGCAATAAACACATGTTGGTGCTTCAGTTGTTAGACCACTTTCTGGGTATATTTGACCTGCTGATTCCAAAAATTGCACCACTTTTCCCCTATTGGCTCTAGTATTTGAGATACAGTACCTATGCCATGTACCATTAATCATCTGTTCACCCATGAAAAATCATGATAACCATATCTAAGAAACTAGAGGTGATGCTGTCTATATAATGCAGTTTTCTGAATTAGTGCCCAAATAACCCCAAGAACAGGTATAAAAACCAAGACACCAATACTTTATTTGTTGGGCTATATAATCATGAGTTTCAAATCCTTTCTCAACAAATGTATGCATTACTGACCTTGAGTTCTATGTTTTGATGATGAATCATACATATCCTTAGTTGATTTGTGCAATGACTGAAAAGAACTTCACTAATATTGCTTATTCTTTTGAGATAATGTTGAAAAAATATTTTTTCAAACTTCTGAAAAGCAAACAGAAGAGCTATACTAGTTCAAAATGATGTTTGCTGATTAACCAGACATTAAATGTGCTTGGTTTGTCTTGAGAGCCAAAAATAAGTGATCATCTGTCTTTAAAGCAAATGCTTAGCTACTTATATATTGTTTTATGTTTATCAGACAATTTTAAATTGATGATTAAATATTTTCTCCTTATATCTGCCATTGAAAAGAAGCATGCAATAAAATGAGCAAAAAATACCTTCAGTTCGCCAGTAAAATCTGGATCAAATTGTAAATAGTGTCTTGGGCTCATTTGTGCTTGCCTTGAGCGATCTGACACACTTGCTACATGGTTGAGCTGGTAGCCCTTCAAATGATATTTCACCTCAGCTACCATCATCTTTCATAAAATGCATGAAGGAAATGCAATTTCACTTGATACATTCTATGAGGAAGCTTGGACAAAACCCATTCTGAATTCAAATGGGCAGGATTCCCGTGGTTGGGCTACAGTTTGGCTATATCTCCTGCTAATTTACACATAGATACACCTACATTTTTTGCTTAATTCATGGTGTAAGTCACGTCTTTCCTGTTGGCTATTGTTACTTTTAGGATAAAGGTGAGGAGTTAAGAACAACCATGTTGAACCTCGAAAGACAAGGACTGGAAGCAATGGAAAGCCTCATAAACAGCTCAGAGAGTCTTGATGCTTCTGAAGTTGAGGACCTTTTCTATGACTGTGTTGACACAGAAATTAAGTTCTTCAAGTGAAGTGAGTCCTTTTCAATATTTCCATTTTCATGTTGTCATATCCATTTCTATTTTTAGACGCATAAAGCATCTTAGTTGTTTGATTTTCCTGCACTTCATTCCTAAATCTGTACTTATTGTTAGGGAAAACTACCCTAAAATAGCAGAGCATACAAAAATCCAAACAGGATACCAGATTTGAGCATTAGTTCATTAGCTAGCAAAGTGTGAAGTGCCATATGATGTGGCTGTAAAGAGTTCAGAGCTTAGGAGGCAAACATGCAGAGCCCAATCTTTCAAAATCACAAAAGATTTATTTACTATAATAAGAAATAACTGCATTTCTTAATAATCAAGAACTGGGTCTGAGCTACTCTAACACCCATCTCTTCTAAGGTTTCAAGGGAGGGAAAAACCTCAATCACTACATCTCTCCTTACACACAAGCAGAGAGAGATCTCAAAGCACACAGCACACACACAGATGTAACAAACAGAATTCAAAGTAAAGGTTTGCAGTAGCAAAGTATCCATTCTACACAATAAACAGAATGAGTGCAGAAACAGAGACAGAAGAAATAGATACACTAAACTAACTAAACTTTTCCTCATTGAGGACTTCAGACTTGAGCAGTGTGGGGTCAAATCTCAATACTTACCTTATAGGAAGTGATCCATTTTTGGACAATGATGGAAATGAGAACTCCACCATTTTTGGGTTATGGATGTTTTGCTAAGCCTCCAAGTGGATTTGGATATATATTCATCCTACAATTATATATTCATCCGACAATTAACAGTGAATGCTAAAGTGGTATCTTTTTATCATTTCAGTGATTATAGACACTGTTAACCTTTGCATAGAAGACCATGACGTCCTTCAGGCCTTGAAAGATAATCTTGCCATATTGCCGACTATGGGAGGAAATCGTCATCTTTCTAGAGAGATGTTCCTCAGTAGCTGTATCTGGTTAACACATTCTTTTCCCCCATCATGTGTTGTCCTGTGTGTGTTGTCACAAGAGAGCATTCAGTGAATGGTTCAGTACTGTATGCATGCTGGCTAATGTAATGAAGAATGCTTTGACTCATTTGGTCAAGAGAATTTAAAGCAACAAAGAAGCAGAGTGTGATATTACATTTCAAATTAGGCAATTCTTCAAGAGAATTTCTTCTCCAATGTTTATTAAAACTGAGCTTGAAAAGAGAAAAGAAAAAAAATGTACCAGATGCATGAATGTCCACAAAGAAGTGCCGAGTTTTAAAACAGTCCCTTCCTTATGGTGTAACTTTTAGCAACGGAATAGCGCCTTAACTTGTTCTAATTTTAGGCTTACTGAGCTTTGTACATCTTGAAAAACTAGCAGTTGTCTCACATGCTTCTCCCGCTCCCACTCCTTTCCATACATCAAGCTGTGCAGGTTATGTTTATATAATCCATGTTTCCTAAGTGTATTTTTTGAAAAGCAAAACTATAACGACTATAATTTTTCCCAAGTACTTTGAGAGGGAAAGCGAAAGGAAGGAAAAATCAAGAATGAGATTTTGAATGCAGGATCTGTACTGCTGAAGAAAAGCAACAAGCTAGAAATGATTGGAATTTGTGCTGCTTGTTTACACTTTAGAAAATGCTGAAATGACACAACACGTTGAAGTAATGTAATTTGCATCTATGCTATTTCCACAAACATTAATAAAAGACTTTTGGCCACATTGTAGTTTTGAGATTTCAATTTTTTTTTCGTGTCAAGAGTGACTTGAGAAACTACAAGTCGCTTCTGGTGTGAGAGAACTAGCCGTCTGCAAAGACGTTGCCCAAGGGACACCCATATTTTTTTGATGTTTTTACCATCCTTGTGGGAGGCTTCTCTCATGCCCCTGCATGGCGAGCTGGAGCTGACAGAGGGAGCTCATCTGTGCTCTCCCCATATTCAAATCTGCATCCTGTCGGTCTTCAGTCCTGCCGCACAGGGTTTTAACCCACTGCACCACCAGGGGCTCCTATTTCAAATATGAATTACAACATATGCTCGAATATGAGTCGACCTTATGTCGACCTCATGTATGTTTGGAATCAACATCGTGGATTTTTGCATGATTCATTGATAAATTGGGGGTCATTTCATAGAGCGGGGAAAGTGCCAGTGTTGTGTCAGAGGGCAAGTTGCCCCTAGCAGCCACTATTTTCCCACCCAGGCATTTCAAAAAGGCAGAAGTGGCACCATGGTGGAAAGACTAGCAAGAGGTCAAAGCTTCTTTTAGGATGGACTAAGCCTTTGCTATTCACCACTGAAAGGAGATTGATCCTTTTCATATGAGTGAAGATGTAATATTTACTTCCACTTCTGGCTCAGTTGATCCAGATTTTTGGGATGGATTTTTGGACTTTAAATTTCTACACTTCTCCATGAGTACACACACTAATCACATGGATGTCCTTTCTTTCATGGCAGATTAAACATAGCAGCTGCTATATAAACTAGAATAATTGATTAGAGCGGTTGCATTTACCATCTCTCTCCTTGAATTCAGAAGAATCCACAGATGTTTGCTGTGGAGAGACTCTTATCCTTATGCAGGTTGATGATTGCTAAGGATTCCCACTTTTCTTAGACAATACCACTTTTGTCATCAAACTCTGGTTCTTGATTTTTCTTTCAGAAAATTATAAAAAATGCTGTTGCAGAATCCTCTCCCCCAAAGCTATGACTTCTCATGGGAGTAAAGTTTACTCTGGTGTCAACTTGGTGTTGGAATGCATGGAGACATTCTTTTTGGCAGGCTCCGCCACAAATGGTTATATGGCAAATTTAGCAACAGCTGTGTGCATCTGTTTATCCCCTTATTAAATAACTTTTTTGGAATGTCAGGAGTTCTTTTTAGATGGCTAGTCAGTCAGTATGTAGGAAGCACAGGACACTCAATCCAACCCCCGCCCTGTTATCTCCATTGCATTTAAGTTCAATCAGAGAAAAACACTTAAGTCAGTGGTTTTCTACCTGTGGGTCCTCAGATATTTTGGCATTCAACTCCAAGAAATCCTAACAGCTGGTAAAGTGGCTGGGATCTGGGAGTTGTAGGCCAAAAAAAAAAAAAAAGGGGGGGGGGATCCACAGGTTGAGAAGCACTCACTTAAGCAGTCTATATAATTGGGACCCTGATAGTGTAGATTTCTTGGTTGTACATGACTTCTGACTTTGTTCTTTGCAACCCCCACATGAAAACTTACAAGGACACAGAGGATGTCATTTACATGCGTGTCTCAACTAGCCTTATTTTGCCGCCATTGTAAATGACTTAATTTACTATTTTTGGAGGGCTAGTAAGGAAAGTTGTAACTTCTAGTATGCTCTTTTTCCTTTTTGGGCCTTCTTTACATAACTGTCTAAATTCACAGTTGTACAACAAATCTGATGTGTAAAAATGAAATAAGGATGCATATGCTTTTTCTCTACTAGGGAATCAAACTGAGTGATCCATTGGTATTATGAAATTTGACATGTTCCATTAAATGAGGATAAATGACACCACCCCCTCCATAATTTTGTATCTTGATCCATTTTCTTTGTGTACTTTGCTTTTTGTCAAATGTATAAAGTTTAGTTTTTGTTAGCTGAGACGTAGTCTTTGCTCTAAATTGGGGTGAGAAGAATGCGGACCTCCAAATATAGCTGGATTTCAGCTTCCAGCATCCTGAAGTAGCTAAATGATTGGTGGGAATTTTAGTCTGACATCTGAATGGTGGTATCATTCCTTGCTCTACAGCAATGGTTCTCAACCTGTGGGTCCCCAGATGTTTTGGCCTACAACTCCCAGAAATCCCAACCAGTTTACCAGCTGTCAGGATTTCTGGGAGTTGAAGGCCAAAACATCTGGGGACCCACAGGTTGAGAACCACTGCTCTACAGTGACTGTTAATGGGTTAATTCTTAACAGGATATATAGTGGTGAATAAAATAACCTTGTACATGTAGCTCTTCAATAAATATGATCAGATATGAGAAATGATGCTTCTAGTCTTACAGTTCACACATACAAGAATTCTTTATCATCAAATTAACAGAACAGTTATAACTCTTTCAGTTGTTCTTAAACTATTTTTAAGCAAGGAGTACTCCATTTTTGAATGGCACATACATGTTATAAGTAAATATAATTGTAAACAGATCCAGATAATTAAGGAGGAGGATTTCTTCTGCATGCTTGCACTTGCTCCAGAGATTGATCCCCCCCCCTCTTGACTTGGCTATTTTGATGTATCATCATCGAGCCCATGTGAATGTAAACGCGAATTCTCATTGCTCACACATTACATCTGATACATGGATAATCTGTAGACCAGCGATGTGGAATTAGTGAACCTCCATATATGGGTCAGCATTCCCATCAGTGCTAAGCTAATCTCTAGCCACTGAATGATAATGCACATTTTGGTGTGATAGCATTGGGAGACTTGTAAGTTGCCTGCGTCTCTTCTACAGCATTCATCTGAAATGTAAAGTTTAAGATCTCATTCTGAAAAATTGTTAGTCAAAGGAGAGATATCCCAAGGCATTTGAGATTAGGAGGCTTTTAAAACACAAGGAATGGAGGCAAACAGTGGGAAAGTCTCTTCTGTAAAATAAGAAGCATTGGTTTGTGTGGTTTCTTCTGTAAAAATGTCAGATATGCTATAAAATCTGGTCACATTGTCTCCTGCAAATGTCCAAGAACCACTTGGCTCAGAATTTATGAATCTTTGTTTACATTATTTCTTGTGGAAACGAGTATGTATAAAGAATTTGAACCATTATGTATTAGAAGACAGTGACAATAAAATAGTTTCTGCTCAGAGTGAACAACTGAGTGGCCAAATACTACAAATGCTTTTTCTGAAAACATTTAGGCAGATGTTGCCTCCAGCCCAACACTGAAGTCTTAGGATGAAAATTAATGCATAATTAGATATTGTCTTTAATTCAAGATTAATCACATCTAGTCCACACCAAAGGACTATATTCATACCACCTCTATAAGCTTACCGTATATACTCAAGTATAAGCTGACCCGAAGGCACCTAATTTTACCACAAAAAACTGGGAAAACTTATTGACTCGAGCATAAGTCGAGGGTGGGAAATGCAGCAGCTACTGGTAAATTTCAAAATAAAAATAGATACCAATAAAATTACACTATATATATATTATATATATATATATATGAAATTTGCAAAGACTTCAGGAGAAACATGCATATATAGAAACATATTTAGAGATCTATAGGGCTTGCAAAGGCCAATGAACACTTCCAAAGGAACAAAAATGCACATATAAAGTTAATACATCTAGATACACAGAAATCAGGCTTGCAAAAGATTTCAGGGAAAATGCATATATAAGATGAATATGCATATAGATTATATACAAATAACACAAGGCTTGCAAACATTTCTAAGGGGAAAATATATTATTTACAAGCTCCCCCTTTTCCCTTTTTAAAAAACATTTCCCCTCTCTCTTTCTAAAAAAAGAGTTTACAAAATGGGCAACCCCAGCCTGGAAGGAGAAGCAGAGCGAGGGAAGCTTTGGAAAAGAAAACACACTGTTAAGGGAGGGGAAGGAGAGAGAGAAATATATATTGCAAGTAATGGCTGGAAACAGCTGTAACAGTAGCAGCATCAGAGCCTTGACCCCATTATAAGCCAAGGGAGGCTTTTTTAGCCTCAAAAAAGGGTTGAAAAACTCAGAGTATTACAGTATACTCATGGAGGTTAAGACATAACTAGCAACATCTTTGGCAAAATATTGGCACATCAAGTATCACTGAAATTAATTTGGGAAGATGTAGGAATGACTTTATAAAATAATGTTGAAAATAGATGGATGGGGAAGAGAGGAATGTAAGATTAGGTTTGAAAATCTAGACTTTAATATTGTTATGTGACGTAGTGACTGCCTTTAAGCATGTGCAAAGTGCTTTTCCTAAGGGGTCCCTGTAAGGGTAAGTCCAAACTTTCAAACTACCAAACATAATCTTGAATACTTTGCAAAGAAGCATGCTTTATAGATAATTTAAAATCTAAAGGAAACATTTTTAAACAACTGTCTGCTTTGCATGCCCCAATACAGAAGGAAGAAAAAATAAATTTCACATTGCTGTTAAAACTTTACTATAACAGACAATACTGTAAGAGTCACTCATATTTCTCTTAGCTTTTAAGTATCAGACCACAAGAAAGAATGTCCACAGCATTTCCCTAAGTGATTCTCAGATTGATTTTCTTTCTTTCTCCCTGTCAGAACAAAGCAAAACAAAGAAATCCCATGACCCCAATAGTCAGTGATGATAATCCCTTGAACAGGAGTTGTTCGAACTGATCTGATGATGCCATATTAACCACTACAAGAGCAACTTTGCTTCTGATGCTAGCTAAAGTGAATTCTGCATTGTTGTATACCCCACCCCCCATTGACATATGTAAAATTGGCATACGCAAAATGGATAAGAGACAGAAATCCTCTATATTTCCCTTTGTTCTTTAAACAAAGAGCGAAGAACTGCAGTGTAAAGAAAACGTGCTGATATCCCAATCTTAAAGGTAAGTGTCACACTTAGCAGACACGTGCAATAAACACTATATGTTTATTTTAATAAAAATCAATCATAGGAAACTGCAAGGGAAGAAATTTGTGTGTGTGCGCGCAAAAGCATATATGTTAATGTTCTTTTCTAGGTAATTAATCATGTTTTAACACTCAAAAACCTGGTGGCGCAGTGGGTTAAACTGCTGAGCTGCTGAACTTGCTGGCCAAAAAGTTGGCGGTTCAAATAAGAGGAGCAAGGTGAGTTCCTACGGTTAGGCCCAGCTTCTGCCAACCTTGAAGTTCAAAAATAAGCAAATATGAGTAGATCAATAGGTACCGCTTCTGTGGGAAGATAACTGCTCCCCATGCAGTCATACTGGCCACATGACCAGCTCTTCGGCTTAGAAATGGAGATGAACACCACCCCCCAGAGTCAGACATGACTGGACTTAATGTCAAGGGAAACCCTTTACCTTTACTAACATTCAAAATGACACTACGTCACAGCTGGGCAACACAACCCCTGCTTGTTTTGCACACTCCAGATGAAATCTCTATTTACTTGTTATTTGCACCCTAGAAGCCCGCTTCACCTTTAAAACAAGGCACACAAACATCTGGCTTGTTTTATTCAAATATACATTTTCAATAAATCAGAAGGGGGTGTATCACAGTACCTCTTCCAGGGATGGAAAATGGGTCTTGCTGAAGTTGTCCAATCCTTACTCCATTTAGAGCAAAAAAACATTAGAAACTTTTAGAGGTACACATGCCATATAACTGAGTTTGGACCTTAAGATTGGCTCTGGAGCATGTGGTTTCACATACTACCTTGTCTTCTGAAGCATCTTAAATATATTATACCAGAATATCCGCAGATACAGTTTTGTAGCGATAGGGCCTCCATTTGCAGATGGCAGGCTTCCATATCAATATGCACTGTGTTAATCCCCCTCTGCTTTATTTCAGTGGTCAATTGAACTTGGAAGTTGTCCTTCACCTAATTCAAAGGGTGGATGCATCTGAATCTGGCATTAAAGATATCAAGATGGTTTCTCTTAAGGTAGTCTGGGAAATACATATAATGGGTGATAAAGTTCCCTGAGGAGAATACTGCTGGGTATTTTTGCACTCACATATACATCTATGTGTACATGTCATATTCCACTGGAAAACTGTACAACTGCAATAACTGGAAAGCCACTTTAGGGAAACTACATTGGAGGCTAGAAAGAAGTGTATAAGAGATAACACTATGAAGTTTTCTTAAAAGGGAAAACACAAATCCGGAATATATTTCAACACAATATGCTGTTTAAAAGCTGTGTTTACATGGCTGAGTTAAACTAAAATAAAGCAGTTGGAACAAGAAGGAACTTTGGACATTTTCTTCTTCTGCAATCCACTGCATATTGAACAATTATGCCCAAATAAAATATGCCCTATATGTGTGTACTTGAACCACATACATTATACTGAGTACTTCACATAACTTAAAATAAACTCAGAACAATTTGAAAGCATTTAGAAATATATTACACTCTGTTTCAACCACCAACAGTTAACTCATTGCCATTTCAAATCCCATCTCTCATTTCCCAGCCTTTGACAGTCTTCAGTACAGCATGAGTTTCAGTTGCCTGTATTATTTGGCTGCCAAAAACAAGTTTCTACATTTTGCAATGCTCCTGTTGATCTTTCCAGCCATCCTCCTGTTACTTGGCCCTTCTCATCTCACTTGCGCTCTTAAGGGAGGGTTGTTGGCACTATCTGTAAAAATGAGAGGAAGAACTAGATATAAAATTCGTAAATTCCTTTCCAATAATCAATCAATAAAAAGATCAAGCCATATTTATAGCATGCAAGGGCACCAAGTTCAAAAACTTTTTGTGATGTAAACTGTTTTTTTTTTTAACTTAATGTAATTTCTTTTTTGGACATTGTGCAAGGAAGTATCCAGTATCTTGATTTGATGTATTCCTGTGCCAAGAGAGCGTCCTTCTACCATAACCTATTTGGCAATCCTGGCCCTCCTACATAAATACACTGGCAAAACTCTGGCAGTATCAAATAGCTTCTTGGCACAACTGCACAATTCTGCAGGCACTTAAGGCAGCATGAAGGGAGGTAAGCCCTCAATACAGCCTTTGAAGCAAATGAAACACATGTTCTGTGGTTTTGTGGTTTGCATTTGCAAATGGGAGGTTAGCAAATGGGATAAATTGGTCCTGTTGCAAAATATTTTTATATGGCTTGGCCTTGGCTATTAATTCAGTCTATGGGGATGATACACTAATAGTCATTCAAGACACATCTGCCACAACCACTCTCAGTCCAAATCGTTTCACAATAACAGCAAACGAAACAATTTTGCCAGCTGTGGCAATAGTAGCTGTGATTGACAAAACCATGACAGCAACGCTGGATTAAGGTATAGAATAATTCCAAAAAGGTTCTCCCATCGTTATGCACATGCAAGCTGTTCTAGGTACACAATGTAGTAGATGTTTGCCACTTACCTCTAGCTTCTTGGCTAGGATATATCTTCAAACATGGCTTAAACTCATCTGGCGGAGGGAATTCTTCCACGGAATGAAAAGTAAATTTAGACTCAAAGTCATCTAAAGAGAATATTTTTTGAAAATGAAAATAAATTGCAGCAAAGAAAAAACCAAGATGGAATCACGCAACAGACAATAAAAAGTTTGTGTTCCGTAAAGAGTACTCCTCTATTAATTAATCATGTTATTGCTAATTTCCATTGCAAAAACATGTACTGTAGCAGAACTTACTGTATATATAAACTTACATTTATATTCAAAATTTAATCCAGGAAACTCCAAACTACACACTGAATAACTTATTTCTATGCACTTGCTTTCTTCTAGTTAGAAAACATTGTTCAATCTGTGTGATAGTTAGGGGTGTGCATGACTCAAAAAACCCACTTTGTCGTAACAAAAATCGTGAGACCCCCGTTTTGATTTTGAAGTGTTTTGGAAAAATCATAAGGGGTCTGTGTGGGAGCTATAATGGAGTTCTGAAAAAGTTGTTAGTTTTTCATTTAGTTATTTGCTCATTTGCACCAATGGGGACACTAACAGGGCTTTTCCCTCCCTCTGTTTTAGAGCCATTGGGATGAAACTTGCTACAATTGTAGAATACATTTATCACTCTAAGCCCTCTTAAGTTCCAGAACATTTTGGTCATCCACTAATTTTTATGATATTTTTGAAGTTTTTATGAACAACATTTTTTAAAAACTACATGAGCTTCCCACTCAAATTTCTCTACAGCGACACAACATAACCAGGGCATTCTTCCCATCAAATTTCAGAACAATCCACTCTTCCACCAATTTTTAGATTTTTTAAACGTTTTAGAAAAAACACAAAACAATTACTATAATAATACAATTATCACATAATAAAACATTTTAAAATACAGGTCTGCCAGCCAGCCACCAGGTTTAAAATAATGTTTTGTGTTTGCCCAGAATCGCAACAGCAAAGAGACAACTGAGACTACTAGACTGGAATTTCCATTGATTCAATACAGGAAAAATAAATAAAGCAGTTTGTGGGATTAAAAATTGAAAAAAATAGGAAAAAGTGCAAGCATTGCATTGTTGTCACTATATAACGTTAAGAAATGGAAAAAAAAGATGCAATAGATAGCATGTTAACTGTAGCAAGATTACTGATAGTGAAGAACTGGAAAGGTAAAATAAATATACCAATTGAAGAATGGTATAAAGAACTATGGAAACTAGCAATAAACGATGAATTGACATGTAGATTAAGAGTCAGGAAAGGGGTATGGAAGGAAAACGACTTTGATGAAGTTTGCGGAAAATTTATTGAGAACAGCTTAAAAGAAGTAGATGGGAAATTACCTCCACAAAAAGAAATGGTAGTTTGGAAAGAGAATGTAAACTGAAGTGGCTCGGAAGGGGGGGGGGGGCACAGAGGTGAACAAAAAAAAAGTATGCAAGATATATATACACATATAGTTGATGTAATGAATTGAGTATCGAATACAAGAGTATCGAAGGTATTGATGCATTGATGTATTTTAAGAGAACCAATAAAAATATATTTTTTAAAAATTGGAAAAAACCAAAGCAGGAAAAAGGGGGGACAACCCAAAATGAATCCTAGATGGACACCCCCACTCCAAGCACACAAACATGCAAGCCTGCCTGCCCGCTTCTACCCTCCTTCCTTCCACCACATCTTGCTGTTCAGAAAGGTGAGCAAGACCTTGTGACTGTATTTATTTATTGGAAATGCCAGGAGTGCCTCCTCCCTCCTCCCTAATAGGCTGAGGAGAGCCTAAATAGTCTGTCTGCATTGCCCAAAAAGACTAAGCTGACTCACTGGAACTTATGACAGTTATGCACCTTCTTACGAAAACTGACTACTGGCTGCAGTCATTATAATGTGAGTGGTAAGTACGGATATAACACACCTCTTACAACTTTCGATCCTCTTATCATTTTTTGCACAGCCCTAATGGTTATTCCTAAAAGGATCATCTTTAAAAAAACAACAACTCAGAATGGCTGAGTTTTGCATGGATTTAAAAGAATCTATCCAAATACTAAAACTGTTTTGGGATACATCTCAGCACACTGGATAGCTCCTTTAGAGTCTGACAACGAGAAACAATTCACACAGGAACACTGAAGTTACCAAATATATCTAGTTTGTCATTTGTGGATTTTTGTAAGTAAATGAGGTATAAATTTAGCAACCTTACCCATTATGTGTACAACAGTTCCATTCTTGAGCGACGGGTAAAGGTCATTGCCAACCGACCATGGAGACACCTGAGCATACTGACACTTGCTTGAGAGCTCGGTTGTTGGAGACCTTGCAGGAGGCACCGGGGGTGGCATCAGCTTCCCTAAGAAAAGTAAAAATTAGAAAAGATCTCAGAAGATGGGTAAGCAATGCATCAAACAAGGGAATATTTTCATTTTCATTATACTTCTTTTTCGTCCTCCTTCAAAGATCTTCAAGGTAGCATATATGCCCCGCTCCCTCCTAAGTTTTAGCTAAAATACAATAACTGGCACAAGAATACTAATTCAGTGATTTGACTATGGTTGGCATCACCCATTACAGTAACTCATTGTGTCACCTCCTATGTCAGATAGATCATGCTATTGTAGCTAAAATACCAGAAAATGTGATCAAATCAACAACTATAAAAATCAGTGGCAGCTTGTAGTGCATGCAAACTATGGGATTCAAAATATCATTGCAACTGGCAGGGTGCATGCATATTATCATAGATTTTTAGTTTTGTATGTACACTGATACAGTATGTGTAAACTGGGGTTGTGAAAAATGTTTTTATGATTATATCTAATGACAAGATTTTTTAAAATAACAAACAAGACATTTCTGCTGAAACACTGCACAAAAATCTTATAGACTGTTATTTTGGTGTCACCCCCCCTCCCACACCCTGCAATGTCCTCAACATAGTAGAGCAGGGATTTGAACCAAGGTCTCTCCAGATATAGCTTGACATTTTAACCCTAACACTTTTCAGACTCTCCAAAATCTGAACATAGGCTTTTAAATTTGAACAAAAAACTGTCTACCATATTCAGAGCATAGTAGTACAGTCTTATTGGAATTGCAGCACTTGAAACTGTATCTTGAATTGCTGTGTTAAAAGGACAACAGAACACTCGCTGCAATTAGAGGTTAACTCACTATAGTTAGGAGTGGGGAAAGCTGGATGTTCCTAAGATGTTTGGTTTTGATGCATATCATTGGCAATCTCCTTCATTTTAAATGTCAAGAAATTCTGAATGGATCCATAGTACAGAATGAGACTTTTTTCTCTCATCCATTCAGCCTTATTGTTGATATATGCTTGTACGCACATGCTCGTCCGTAAGGTTTTACAAGGTTAAGGAAGCTCTTTCAACCCAAGGACCAAATTCAGTTTCAGATATCTGAATTGCCACGGTGGGCACAGCAGCCACAACCAAAATGGAAAGATAAAAGGTGAAAGCATATTTTAGCTTAAAGCCCTTATTGTTTGTATCTAAGGCACTGTAACTGCTCGGGACAGAAGGAGGATTGTGGCCCAAAGCTGGGAACCTCCCAAATCATGTCATTATGCCCTGCTTTCATAAGGCTGCCTGAGCTCTTCTCTCAGCTTCATCATCTTCGCATACATATTTGGTAGGAAAACAGAAGGAGGATTTTCTCCTTACTACTCTGTTTGAAGTTCCTTTCCTAGGGAGGCTAGGCTGGTTTCCTCCTTGCTGTCCTGTTATCATGAAGTGAAGACCTTTCTATGTCAGCAGGTACTCGGGAACTGATTTTTTTATATTCTGCATCTTCCTTTTGAATTGTTTAATTTGTGTTTTAGAAGTAATATTTAATATAGTTTCAACTCTGTAGACAGTTTAATATTATTGTAATCTTAACTTTGTGCATTGTTTTTAGCTCTATGTAGGTTTACCTGTGTTTTTATTTTTATTCACCATGACATCCACAGTTGGGGAAAAGAGCAGGATATTAATAATGTGATAATCAATCAATCACATTATTTATATCCTACTTTTTATGGGACACATTCTGGGAAACCACACAAAACTGGATTCAGCACCAAGGTCTAAGGCAGGGGTCCTCAAACTAAGGCCCGGGGGCCGCATGCGGCCCTCCAAGGTCATTTACCCAGCCCTTGCTCAGGGTCAATCTAAGTCTGAAATGACTTGAAAGCACACAACAATAACAACAACCCTATCTCTTCAGCCAAAAGTAGGCTATTTCAATTCCCATTGAAATACTAATAATTTTATATTTGTTGAAATTGTTCTTCATTTTACTTATTGTATTGTTTTAAGTGTTTTTTGCACTACAAATAAGATATGTGCAGTGTGCATAGGAATTCTTTTTTTTTTTCAAATTATAATCCGGCCCTCCAACAGTTTGAGGGACTGTGGTCTAAGTTTGTGTAAAAGTTTGTGGACCCCTGGTCTAAGGTCTCCACACTCTGCATTTATTTTCTCCCACAGTGAAAAACTGGCATTGGGCAAGGTAGATTGCACTATGGATCACACAGAATAGCAATACCCAACATATGACCTTTTAAATGTTACGTGACTGCCATTCCAGGCAGCTGTAGCCAATGGTGAGGGGTGCTGAGACTTGCCATTTGGAAACCACACTTTGCTCATCCCAGAAGCAGGGTACATAACCAGGGAAGCTGAAGTTAAAGAGCACAATTCTTACCTCCACCTCTTCCTTGCCTCCTTCTCTGTATTACTACAGTCTGTTGTGTGGCCGAAGAAACAGGAGACAGAGGAAGTGACTGAATGTTAGCCTTCTCCATTTGAGACTGCACGAACAGTGACTTGGGGGGCAGTGGAGGGGCAATATCACCACTGCCGCTCAAGGCACTGTTAGAGGATGGTGATGTTGGGGATGACAAAGACGATCTAGGTGAGGAAAAAGTGGACATATGAGGAGGGGGTGGGGGAGGAGGAGGTGACATCAGAGGTGGATTGGTTCTGACATCAGGCTGGGAAGAAGAACCCTCATTCGTTCTGCCCGAGGTCCCACAAGGTGATGTTAAAGGTAAGGGAGGTGGTGGGGGAAGTGGCGGCATGTTCAAAGGGGAGGTCTGAGGTTTAGGGAGTTTCTCGTTGTGAGGAAGAGAAACACCAGCAGCTGTGGTTGGGGAGGTGAGTTTGTCAGGACTTTCAGCCAAAGGAGGGGGAAGAGGTGGAGGCGGCGGGAAGACAAGAGAAGGTTTGCTGGAGGAAGACGGCGGCAATGGTGGGGGTGGAGGGGGAGCTGGGATGTTGGGACGAGTAGGCGTAGGCGGTTGAGTCTTGGGTGTTTCTGGCTGGTCTGTTGGTTTTGGGCTCTCAGGTGTAATGTGGAAGTTCCCATTGGCTTTCTCATTGTTCTGTGAGTCCGGAGACTTTGGAGGCATCCGTAAGGTACATGGCTTCCCAGTTTTACCACCTAAGGAAATCAACCAAAAGTTTTTGGAGATGAAGCATCAAATGAATCCATCTACTGGTATAACTTCTAAAACAGCGCAGCTTATTCATTTAGTGGTTAAATTTATACATAAAAGACCATGCAAGAACCCCATCTCTCCCAACTTTAGAGTTCTTCATAAATGAAGAGCTTGTTTCTTGTCATGGATTTCTATTGCTTGCCTATCTGCCTACAATTCCACCACAAAAGACCCACTTTTACAAAAGCCGCAGTCCTAGCAAGAGTGAACCAGGCATTTCCCAAGTGACAGGGCCAAAGCAGCTGTCCCCTGCCCCAGTCACACATTTGCTCTGTAATGGTCAACAGACACTCACTGGTACCTCTCAATTATTCATGTTTGCCTTTGCAAACACTGTACAGAGGTAAGCAGCTGCTGCAACCTGGCCAGGCTCAAATGCTAATGCTTTTACCCAACACATGGCTAATTTGTCATATTTGATACACATCCCTATTCCCCATTCTGCTTTACAATCACCTCACAGCTTTAACTTGCTTTTCCTTGTCTGATAGAGACTGTTCTTTAAACAGAGATAAGCTAGGCATGCACTGGTAACATCTCTTTTAAACTAGGAGTGGTGTGCAAGCTCCGGGGACAGATAATCCAACGCAACTGCTACCATTATGAGCCCAGTTACCACCACTGTGCTCTTTAAGTGTTACTGCTGTTGCCAAACCAAGCATATTCGATGTTTTTATTTTTTGGTCAGGAAAACTGATCTAAATGTTCATCTTCTTTAAAGCAAATGCACACCTATGCTAAAGAATAGGTTCTGCTTTTCCAACATACTTATGAACTACACTGAAGCCACCATTACAATAAGATATTTTTACCTGATAGGTCTCTTTGTCCTACTGGTTTCAGAACAGGAAATCCTTCAGCAAAAAGGTTCCCCAGTCCCTGAGGTACGTCACTTCTGCCACTTGGTGAACTTCCGCCATCTCTGCTTGTCCTTTTCCTACCATCTGAGGCAATTTAAAAAAAAAATTGTGATAGTTCAGTCAGGTTTCTGGTATTTTTATATTGCATGTCCTTTAACATATAATTGCTTCCACCCTATTAATGAAACATGCAGGCATCCTGTGTGCCTTTTTGGTTGTTACAGAGGTTGGTATCCCTCTCCCACATCTATACCAACTAAAGCCATCCTGAATATACTAGAGCTTGGAGAAAGCGGTGAAGGACTAGAGTAGCACCTGTTGCTATAATCAGATGCTTCTCCACACTCTGCAGTATATTCAGGATTGATAAAATAAAATAAAATGGAATCCTGACAAGATGGGAGTTTTGTAAGTAGGTGGCAACGGCACCCAAAAGTTAGATAATTGGTATGTTCTGAATGGGGTTGTATTAGGAAAATTGATATGGTATGGGTTTGTTTTGTTTTTTGTATACATTTTTATTGTGATATATGAGGAAAAAAAAATACAATCTTTGAGATTTAACAATCAAAATACAGGCATTATTTCCAGTCCCACCACCTCCCCATTCCCACCCATAAACCACCACCCATGACTTCTGACACTATACCATATGGAACTAGTATCTAACAAAAACTGTCTTTATCATTACACTAATAAATCGCCTATTTGGCTAATTCAAAATCTATTTTTGTCTTCTTTTTCAAATATCCAAAGGTCACGTTTCATTTTCTAATGAATTATTCTTTGTTTCCTTCCCTTATGCCTTTGGAGATAATAATGGCCATTTGGATATATTTTACTACTTTTCTTCTCCAATCCTTAATAAGCAATTCTCCCCCCCACCCCTCCAAGACTTTGCTATAATGATTCTCACTGCCACATAACTATATTAGCAAATTTCTACATTTTCTTTGCCTATTCCCTCCTGAAACGAACCCAATAAGCACATTTCTGGATTTTTCTTTATCTTCTTAGTAATAATTTTGTTGGTTTCTTTAGTCACCTTTTTCACTACCATATAGGTCCACCAAACATGGAAGAAGGTACCTTTCTGCATTTTCTATCTCCAACATTCCCTCCTTTGGGATTTATCTATTTTAACCATTAATTCAGGAGTTATATTGGTATTTTCCCTTAAGTCTTTGGACCAGGAAATCATTACTGTTTTATTTGATTGTCTTCCAGGTTATACTCTAGAATATATTTGTATAACCTGGAAATCAATCCTTTGTTTTCTTTCCCCAAAATATATTTCAACTCCGATTTCTTTTTGGCAAACCCAATTTTATTGTCTTTCTTAAATAGATCCTGAAACTGATGATGATGAAACCAGTCATTTATCCCCAACTCTTATCTACCTTTTAGTCCATCTACTCCTACATTGTCAACTCTGCCTGACCGTAATTTTTCTGCAGGCAGGGTGACTCTTTCCAATACTATCTGGTGGTTCCTGCTATAGCCTAGGGATGTAGTTATAAAGCAGCCTTGACCATGCTTAGCTTCGAAAATAAGATGGCTGAGTACATTTGGGATGGTATAATGGATCCTTCAGGAAAAACGTGGAACACGTCTCTTTAAGTGACACAGGCATAAACAGGTTGTGTATTCCTAATCCAAAATGCTTAGAATCAAATGTGTTTGGGATCTTGATTTTTTCTGGATTTTGGAATACCAATATTTGAATATCTATACATAATGAGCTACTTGGAGATGGGACTCAAATCTAAACATGATATTCACATACACTGTATACACATTAGGCTTTCACACAGATTTTAAAAAGTCTTTGGCTGGTTCAGACACCTGTAATGGCATGTGCTCTCCTGCCATTTTTTTTTTTTTGGCTGCAACAGAACAGTGGCTGTCAAAAACCCAGCTGCTTTCAGTTTCTTTTCGCTACACGTGGAATGTGGGGAGAAAGGCAGCTGCTAGAAGGGAAGGGATTCCAGAAAGGGTGATTTCTCAAACATTTGCCTTAAAGCTGAGTCTTCTCTAAAGAGAGAAGGGAAAGGATCACGGGAAGGAAGGTTTCTTAAGTCTTTGCCTTTAACCTAGGAAGCCCTGCCCCCATGGCCACCAATGGGCTGGATTGAAAACAAAGATTTTGCCTTCCTGAATCGAAAATGGACTTCTGTCTTCCCTAATTCGGGAGGCTCCTGAAAAATAGTTTAGGGCCCCCACTGAAATCTAGGACACTGAAACGGATCAAGGTTTACCCAGATAACACAAGCCTAATACACATCACCTGAAGTTTGTATACACTGAGCCATCATAAAGGAAGTGTAATTGTCTCAGCTTTTGGAAATCCAGATAGGGGTTGCCCAACTTGTATAACCAAATATGAGCGGCTTATTTACATGGCAATTTCTCAAGTTTTGTAACTGAATATATTTACAAAAACAGCTCTCTACAGATAATGGTTTCACCCAAAAAATGAATGTGTCTCCACTGCTGTGAGATTTCTCAAATGCTGAAGACTCACTTTCAATCTGTGGTGCGCTTCGGTCATTGGCCTGTGTTACTTTCCTCAGTCGAGTCCCTCTTTGGATCTCGTGGAGCAAAGCACTCCGACTTTTTGAATCCTCCCTTCTTGCCTTGGGTGGCTCTGAATTGGCCTAACAAAAAGAGAAGATGGTGAGATGGATGTTTAGCAGAGGATTAGAAGAAGTACTTGGGAAAGAGGAGGTAGGAAAACTCACATGGTCACTGATCCTGTTACCACTGATACACAAGAGAGAGTAAAAGAGGACAGATACAAGTTTTAATGTACCCACTCTCTATCAGTCTCAAAAGAAAGCAGACAAATCTACTCTGAACAAATCTTGCTTAGAAAACCCTGTGTTAAGTTAGCCTGGTGTCCCCGTAAATTGGAGACAACTTGAAGGCACACAACAACAAACTAGCACCTTGAACGAGACCTGGAGACAAAAAGGGAATTAATGCTGTGATCAAAATAATATAAACAACTGTGGCTGCAAGCAGCAATCTTATTATTCCAGTGAAATGCTGCATTTTGAAGTTTTCAAGTCAACCAAGGGAAGTCAGAATAATTATAACAATAACAGAGCCATTTCAAAATCATTATTACACTACAAAATAATAACAATAATCATTGCTATTAATCTTACAAATAAATGAATGAATGAATACTATTGATATATAAACAGTATATTGAATATAAGTGCTAAGTAGCTCTTATTTTTTATTCATTTTCCTAGCACTCTTAATTTTTTTCTATAATTTAACACATGTTAAAATCTTGCTTGGTCTAGTTATTTTTGTTGTGTAGTTCTTTGAGCCTGCCTCTTGAGATCTCTCTATAGAGGTTTTTGCTACACAGTGGCATGAAAACACTTTGAGCAAATGGAAATACATAAACAGGGGGATCCATTACTTTGACTGCTTCTCTGAAGTTCTGGGAAGATGACTGTCAATGCAAAAGAATACTTTAGAAAAATGTCATAATTTCAGAAATTACATCAAGGATAAATAATAATAGTTCCAAATTCCTATTGTGTTAGAACCCACATCTGCAGGTTTGATTTTATGGACTGGATTATTTAGATTTGATTTAAATGTTCTCTCTGGGTCCTCTAGTGCTTACTCTTTGATCAGCTTCCAGTGGACATTGGCCATGCTGGAAAACACAGAAATTCTGGGAGAAGTGTTCTATCAGGTTTAAAAATAGTATTTTCAAACCATTATATTTACTAAAATTTATGTAATACCAACAGACAGGAAACACAATTAAAAACTTTAAAAAATTATGATTTTTTACTTTCAAAAGTGTCTTCTGGTCAACCCCAATAAATGTGGATAGCTGACAGTATATTATTTAAAGCCACTTGCTAAAACACAGAATACAAACATGAAGTTTGTTTCTACTGGATACCAAATCCATCTGAACAAATTTTACCGGAATCAAGAAAAGTGCTGAAGATGTGCATTCTTTTGCTTCTAATCCTAGCCTATAACTCATTTTTCTTTTCTTTTTTGTATTTCAGATCTTTTGGAAACCAACTCTACAAATAGACACACATTCACTACAGCCACTTCAAAACAACAATCCATAGCACCATAATAAACTAGTTTATCTAAACTAGGGTTTTTTTTTTAGTTTTTCCACACGTGGCTGCTTTTCTCCCAAGAAATTTTTACATGGTCCCATGGAATATATGCATATAAAATTGGTATATAAAAAATCAAATATTTACTGATTTTTAAAAAATCAGCATTTGCAAGGCTTGCTAAATAGGCTAAAGCATTTTCTGTTGAATCCACTGTAAACACTGCACAACAGATTCATGTAAATGTGAAAAACATTGACTCTAGTTGATGTTTAGAAAACTTTTACTGTTGTCAATTTTTTTTTTACGACCCCAACATTGAGCTACGGAGACCTCAAATTGGGGTCAGGGCCCACAGTTTAAGAAGCAGTGCTCGAGACAAGGGCTTCTGGACCTTTTTCCACTCACAAACCCCTTTCTGCCCGAGAAAATGTTAGTGACCCCAGGTATATAGGTATATAAAATAGGTATAAAAACCAAACATTTACTGATAATAAATTAGTATTTGCAAAACTTGATAAACAGGCTGATTTTCCTTTTTGTAGAGTACAACACAAACACCTTTTAACAGAATCCACTGTACGATGTTGCTAACTGATTTGTGTAAATAGATGACACTAGAAATCTTTTAGTTGCCGAATTTGTCATGATCCCAACATCGAGCTAAGTTTGTGGTAAGGACACACAGTTTAAGGCAGTGGACCTCACACTATTTGATGTGGAGGACCAGCAATTATTTTTTTCTCTAAAATACCATAAACTAGTTTCATATTTGTGCCCATGGACTAAAACTCTTCCCTTTCCCTTCCCCTTCCTTTCCTGGAAATTCTCCAGGAACTAGCAGCCAATGGCTCTGAAACTTGCCCTAGATTACTGACTTGAGTGGCAATTGTCTAGAGAGTTTCCAAAACATGTGTAAGTTTTAACCCAGCCGCTGATTTCCCATTTCTTCTATATTCGCTCCTCTAGATGGCACACGTGGGTGATAGTGGCATCAGGAACGTTCTTTGGGGATGATGTAAAATCTCACTAATAACTTATATTCTTATGACTACATTTATTGCGAAAAGAGAGAGGCTTTAATGAACATATTCTTATAAATTAACCCACATAATTGAACCTCCAAATGCCTTGGGAAATTTCACACACAGACACAGTAGCTTTTGAAATCGGAAAGGCACATGTATCGACACAGCTACAGCAGAATTTTCAGCCTCTCCCTTGAAAAAGAATAAAACATTACTTACTGTGAAAAACTGAAGAAACATGACTGCAACCAAGTATTCCTTGGTTTTTGTTATTCAACACTGTCCTCAAATAATTTCTCTTAGCAACTGCCACAGAAAGTTTCACTGCAGCTTTGCTGTAGAGTTAGAAAAGGACCGGAGCAGGCACTTTAATGGTTTAAAATTAGAATCAGCAGCTGTGGTTTTGTTTCTGGGTTCATATGGCTACAGGTTGTGTCATCTGCACATGTCACACAGGGGCTAGATTCTTGATTAATGAACAGAGCATTTCCGAAGATATGATTGGAAGAAATACAGAAAGCAAGGAACTCTAGACGATAATTTAATTAGAAATGAAAACTCATTGTAACAAATTATGAAAACATGTCTGCAAAGATAACAGTTTTAAATACAGATGAAGGATTATGGTGATGTATTTTTCCTCTTTGTATCAGAAGAAAAAGGCTTGTTTTTTTGTGTGATCATTGGCTCCCCATCATCTAAGCAACACAATTGAAGGATATGGGTTCTCTTCCAGGTAAACCAGGAGTTAATGATATGATAGGTTAGGTTATATTTACTGGGGCCAGCATCATGAATGATCAGCAGAGTTCATGACAGGTAATTGCTCAAAGGGAATGACCAAACGCTGAGAAGGGTGAAAGCTTGGAGATGCTTTTAACATAAGCGGTTATAAAACACAATGCCACAAGGCATGAGAGAGACCTTTGAGCCTTGGAGAGACTTTGGGATTGATGAAGATGTAAAATGCTGCCTCTCTGGACAAGGGGTCTAGACTCCCAGCTTCCCATGAACATCTAAAGATCCTGAATGCAAGCAACATCATGAGTAGAACAGAAATAGGTTGTTGTAGGTTTTTTCGGGCTATATGGCCATAGTCTAGAGGCATTCTCTCCTGACGTTTCGCCTGCATCTATGGCAAGCATCCTCAGAGGTAATGAGGTCTGTTGGAACTAGGAAAAAGGGGTTTATATATCTGTGGAATGACCAGGGTGAGACAAAGGACTCTTGTCTGCTGGAGCTATGTGTGAATGTATTAACTGGCCACCTTGATTAGCATACAATGGCCTGACTGTGCCTGGAGCAAACTTTTGTTGAGAGGTGATTAGATGTCCTTGTTTGTTTCCTCTCTGTTGTTGTGCTGTTGCAATTTTAGAGTTTTTTAATACTGGTAGCCAGATTTTGTTCATTTTCATGGTTTCCTCCTTTCTGTTGAAATTGTCCACATGCTTGTGTATTTCAATGGCTTCTCTGTGTAGTCTGACGTGGTGGTTGTGAGAGTGGTCCAGCATTTCTGTGTTCTCAAATAAAATGCTGTGTCCAGGTTGGTTCATCAGGTGCTCTGCTGTGACTGATTGAAGTAGTCTGCAGTGCCTTTCATGTTCCTTGATTTGTGTTTGGGCGCTGCGTTTGGTGGTCCCTATGTAGACTTGTGAGAGGATCCCTCTTGTCCTATGCTGAACGTAGCATTTGTTGGATTTTCTTGGTGGGTCTGTAGATAGTTTGTATGTTGTGTTTCCTCATCAGCTTCCCTATGCGGTCAGTGGTTCTCTTGATGTATGGCAAGAACACTTTTCCTCTGGGTGGATCTTCGTCATTACTCTCGTGGCTTGTTCTTGGTCTTGCAGCTCTTCTGATGTCTGAGGTGGAGTATCCATTGGCCTGGAGAGCCCAGTTGAGGTGGTTCAGTTCATCTTGGAGGAGGTGGGGTTCGCAGATTCTTTTTGCACGGTCTGCCAAGGGTTTAATGGTGCTTCTTTTTTGACTTGGGTGATGGTTGGAGTTTTTATGTAGATATCTATCTGTGTGTGTGGCCAATTGGGGAGTTAAACTCTGGTCTCCCAAAGTCAGACTATTATACCAATTTTTGTTCTTACAAACAGTTGATGTTGCTGTTCATTAATTTAGCAAGTGCTGGATTTTAAAATATTTTTAAATGTTGCTGCTTGTGCTTGTTCACAACCTTCAGTTACTCCTTTAAGAGTCAAGGAAACAGGTAGAATAGATGTTTTTGTGAATAAATATGTTTGCTTTTTTCTTTGTAAAATAAACCCACCTTGACCATTCACCAAGAATCCAATTGTGGGAAGGTGATTCATTTTATTGAATTCCACCAGTGTCCCAAGGAGCGGAGAACAAAATTAAATCTCATGACCTTAGCTATTGAAATCTGAACATGAACAGTTGGTTCTCCATTTCCTTGGTAACCATTAAGGGAGTTTCTATTATTTCTTACATAAGGGATGTCAGGCTAGGTGAGTATATTTTTTATTTTCCCCTTTAAAAGAAACATTCCATAGA